GGGAAATGGGAATAACTTCAGTGATCTTCAGCAGGAAAATGAGTAAGTAAATACTGGTGCATCTGTTATATAGAGATGATTTTATTGTAACCAAAAAATTTGGCAAATCCAATTTTTCTAAGACAAAAAAAATAAACAATATGACCTTTCAATGTTAATAGCTAAAACTGTGTGTTTGATATCTGGCAGATTTGAAGTGAAGACAAATGGGGGACAGAAGAGCAGAGCATAAATGTCAATCATTTTGAAATCACATATATGAGTCAATGCATTTTAGAAAAACTGGTACCATTGGGAATCTTTCAGTAAGCAAATGAACAACATAAGGGAAATTAATAGGAATGCATTTACTGACTATTAGATCTTATTAAAATGAGAAAACACTCATTTTTAGTAGATAAATTGATGATCCATAAATTCTAGATCAAAAAAAGAAAAAAATAAAGTGATCAAGAAGACTGGATAACAAACCTATTCCCAGAGCATACAATCTAGCGCCACTGAAGTCTCCATCTTTATTTTTTTCTTGTTTGATTAACATACTTACTGATAGCTCTCAAAGTTTTTGACTGGAAAAGACACCCTTGAAAGTTCAAACGCAGTACATTTAAACGCCACTTTCGCAAGGTAGTCACTACACACTTATCTACAACATTTTTTGTTGTGGAAAAATCAATCTGAAAATATAAATAAAAAGCATTAAGAAATAAGAAAAATCTATTTCATGTTTTAAAATTTGAAATATTTTAAAAGACCAAATACTAAAAGCTCTTCATCATGTCCTTTTCAAAAAGAAAAAGAGACTAAAACATTATAGCATTATAGTGCTCTAATAAAATGTACGAATTCAACAAAATAAAATAAACAAATTCCACACTTCCAAAAGTGACAGGAGTTGGCCAATAAAAAAAAATAAAGTGCATTAGGATAAGAAATTTAAACAAAACATTTTTAAGCTGGGGATCAAAACCTCATGCATGCTAGGTAAGCACTCTGTCACTGGGTTACATACCCGGTGACCCAGTGCACAATGGCTTCTTGACAAATAGCATCCAGTCCCTCTTGTGATGTAAGGCATATAAAGTAGAATAACAATGAAACAGCATCAATCAAAACCTAGAGAGAGCTAAGAAATTTTGCAACAAAAAATATTCTTTAACTTCATATACTTTTATGACTATCAATCAAGCCAATGTTTGCCCTATGTTAAAATCGTATGTGTGCATTTATAAATGAGGAACATGACTGGAGAGATGGCTCATCAGTTAAGAACACTGGTTGCTCTTGCAGAGGACTTGGTTTGGGTTCCCAGCACCCATATGGTAGCTAACCGCTCTCCATAGCTCCAGTTCCAGGGGATCTAATGCAATCTTCTGGCCTCCACAGGCATTGTGTATACTGGTGCACTTACCTATCTGCATGCAAAACACTCATATATATGAAATAAAAATTAATTAAAATAAATAAATCTAATTTTTTTTTGTGTGTACGAGCGTACTGCCTGCATGTACGTAAGTGCGCCCATGTCATGCAATGCCCACGGAGGTCAGAAGCAGGCATCAGATTCCCCTGGAACTGGAGTTATGTACAGTCGTTAGCGACCACATGGGGTGCCAAGAACTGAATCTGGGTCCTTTGCAAGAGCAGCCAGTGCTCTTAACCACTGAGCCATCTCTCCAGTCCCCATCCCCAATTTTTTTAAAGAATGAGGAACAGGATATTCACTACAGTATTTTAATAGGAAAAGAAGGAAACAACCTAAATGACCTAAATGTCTTCCAATGAAACTGATTAAATAAATGTAGAGACTTCATACAACCTGTCACTGAACAGAAGCTGAATTCACAGTAAGAAAGGACAATTTATCAAAATAAAACCTAAACCGATAGAACCCAACAAAGCTACACTCAAACTCAGTCCAGGAATAAAATTTAATAATCAAACTGTTCTTCCTGAATACCACTGCGTGATGCCAAACTTTTGACAAGAGTTGCTTCTCAGAACTCAGGATACTATTTTTTAAATAATTTATTGAGAATGTCATACATGCATATAAGGTGTTTTGATCAAATCCATGCCCACTCCCTCCAACCTCTCCCATATCTCCCCATCACTTTTTTTCTGATAACTTCAAGTACTCTCTTCTTTTTTATATATTTTTTGTTATTTTTATTTTATGTGTATGAATGTTATGCCTGCATGTAGGTAAGTCCACCAGTGTCGTACAATGCCCACAGAGGACAAAAGAGGGTGTCAGGTTCCCTGGAACTGGAGTTATGGACAGTCGTTAGCTGCCATGTGGGTACTGGGATTTGAACCTGGGTCATCTGCAAAAAAAGTCAGTGTTCTTAACCACTGAGCCATCTCTCCAGGCCCCTTCTTTTTTTTTATGGAGCTTTTTGCTACTCTAACATTCCCCCCTCTGAAGAGGTAACCCTAAAATCTTTTAAGGATTGGATAAAAGCTCCCAAATACTTTTGACATTTTTGGCCTTTGGCATGGAGTATGTTGCTAAGAGGCCCAAGGACACTGTAACTCCCTGTTCAGCATGGAAGAAGCCAGAATGGCAAGCTGAGTAACCTCTTCAGCATACTATTTTAAAAGAACCTGGAGAGCAGAAAGCCTATGCTGCCAGCTAAGCAGAAAACAAATGGCAGGGGTTAAGATTTTCTCATTCATATTCAATAATTAAGTACACACACTTTGCGGTCAGATAGATTACAGTTTGAATTCTAACCCAGGCACTAGAGAAGAGTAGGCTATTATTTAAATAAGCCTTTTTTATCTTTAAAATGAGGAAAAATAACAGTGCCTATTTAAAGAGGTGGCAAAAATAAATAGAGAAGAGGCTGGAGCGATGGCTCAGTGGTTAAAGAGCACTAGCTGCTCTTGCAGAGGACCTGGGTTTGGTTACCAGCATCCATATGGTGGCTAACAACCATCTGTAACTCCAGTTCCAGGGATCTGATGTCCTTTTCTGACCTCCATGGACATTACATGACACGGGTACACTTACTTACACACATGCAGGCAATACATTCATACATATAAAATAAAATATTTTTTTAAAATATAAATGGAGAAAATACAAATAAAGCACTTAGAATAGCACCTGGAATATAGGTAGGACTTAACAAATGACAGCTACCATTACTAGTTCAAAAAACATAGCCAAGCAGCACAAAATGTGAAGTAGAGAAACTTTTAAAACTGCATACAACTAGAACTAAAATACAAGGTGCACAAACAGAGCCTGTTTGACAGTGTCAGTGCCTCTGCATACATGCAAGACACACACAGACCATGACATAGTCTATTTGGACTTCTAGGTTGTTTTGCACCATTATTGCCCTAGTACTATTTTGTAGTATTTTTATAACCCAAAACTTGACAGTTTTTCTCATTCCATCAAAACTCTGGGGACAGGAGTCAACCAATAATAAAAGTTAAGCATACATCATCCCCAATGACTTCTTATGGCTCTTGGATGACACTAATCTCAACAACTGGGATCAGTTTAGCCATTAGTCATCAGTGACCATCATCTTCCCTGTTGTCTAAAGTCCAGGTAATAGCTGATTTCATCACCAACACTCATTGATAATGATTGGATGACTGGTGATGTCCTATGTTCAGATTAACCTGTGAACAGGTAGCCAGGCACTAGTTGTAACATCTCTAAAACTTTTTCATAGGTACTAAGAGGAGCTGACAAAGTGCCAGGGACTCTAGATGAAATCTCTTCAACATCCTCACATCCCGCCAGGACACTGTCCCCTTTGACTGCACTGTTTTGTTCTCACTCTGTGCAACACTGACAAGAATCAACTCCATCTGAGCTAGCAAATCAGATATGACTGACTTGTTCACTGTGGTTTAAGGCAGTGATTCTAAAACTTGATTCCGTAGCACATAGTCTAGAAGGGTTGTAGGGGAGATTGCTGATTGCTACCCTGAGTATTTGACTCAGTAAGCCTGGGGTAAGGCCTGATAATTTGCATTTCCACCAAGTTCTTCAAGTGCTGCTAATGTGATGTCTCTGGGCCACACTCAGAGAACCAGTGGTTTAAAGTAATAATTCTCTTACTTATGTGACAGATGTTTGGGGATGTCCCTTTAATTTTGGAAAACTCAGAAAAAAATAAATATAAATGATCTGGAGGAAAAACATACTATGTGTGGTATTAAATAAGAATTGATCCTGCAAAAGCCTGGCAGGAATTAGAAAATACCAGCACTTCTGCCCAGAGTCCTCATTGGATATAGATGCGAAAAATAAGAGCCCACAGTAAAGCTAGGGTAGGAAGTTCCTTAGGGTCCCCTTCATCTTATTTTTTCTTTTACTTATGCATGTTTAAATGTGGTATAATTATAAGACATTTTAGAACAAATACTCATTTTGTTCAAAAGGCAATGAGAAATGAGAAATTGGATGTTCAAAACTTGGATGATTCAACTAAAAGCTTAAACTTTTAGCTAAAAATATTATCAATATTATTTATCAATCAGCCCTGACTACTCAGAATTCACAAAAACTCCTGCTCCCATTAGTACTGTATACTCTCAGCCAAGTACAGTAAGTTCTTAGAACTGATCTTTATTATTACAAACCACGTGCTCTAAGTGTCTCACATTAAGGACTCAACATACAGTCTGTATTCATAAACAGGAATAGGAACACGAACAGTAAACCAAGGATGGGGGATAAAATGTCCCACAAGACTGGGCTTTGCTTCAATCCAAAAATAATATTCAACTTGTGTGTATACCATACAAACTTTAAAAACTAATATGTCTCTTAAAATATATAATTATTTTTATCTCTTCCTCCAGGTTTGTGCCCAGACCAAACTAAAAACAAAAATGCTTACTACTGGTGGCCACAGTGGAGAGAGGAGGGAAGAAGGCTGGTTTTACCTGTCTGCCTCTTTAGGAACCCAAAGAACCACATAGTTCCACTCATGTCTACTTACAGCATTCCACAAGAAGCTTCTCTGTATCATCAACATCCAGGAGTGGTTAACTTGGCCACAGATTATCATATCTCTGAAACTGAGGTACAAGAAAATCTAAACACAAAGAAAAGAAACATGATTTTGAATAAGATATGAACATTGGTGCAGCTTTTCCGCTGACTCGTGTGTGTGTGTGTGTGTGTGTGTGTGTGTTAGTAATGGCAATATATTCCATATTATTATAAAAGTTGAAGTTCAAATGCTATAATTTTATCTCAAGGTAGGAATTTTATCTGACATATAAAAATTTATCTGCTGATACATTTTATTACATTATATACTGCAATCCTTTTTCTAACTTTGCTGTGCACTGTGTTCTTGGATTTTCTCAAAGGCCTTTTCTGCATCTAATGAGATGATCATGTAGGTTTTGTACTTAAGTCTATTTATATGGTGGATTACATTCATTGATTTACATGTGTTGAACCAACCATCCATGCATACAGTGAACCCTGTATCAAATCATGAGCTCTGTAATGCATGCTGTTTCGTACTTCTCCATTTTTTACCACTTTGTTTAAAGGACAATCAATACTTTATACAAACCTCTTACAAACATAAATCTGAGAATATTTCTTAAAAGCTGCATTTTTCAACTATGTTCACACAAGTAAAAGAAAATTAGAGACCAATCTCATGATGAACATAGATGCAAAATTTCTCAAAAAAATACTTGCAAACCAAGTTCCAGAATGTATCAAAAAGATTAACCAGCACAATTAAGTCAGCTTCATTCCAGAGGTGCATGGGTGGTTCAACATACATAAATCAATTAATGTAATCCACCACATAAATAGATTTAAGTACAGAAACCACACAATCATCTCATTAGATGCAGAAAAGGTCTTTACAAAAATCCAACATCCCTTCATGATAAAAGTCCTGAGAAACTAGGGATACAGGGAATGTATCTCAACATAATAAAGGCAATGCACAACAAGCCCACAGCCATCATGCTAAACTAAGAAAAATTAAAATATTTCCACTAAAATCAGTAATGAGACAAGAATGTCCACTCTCTCCATTCCTGTTCAATATAGTACTTGCAATCTCAACTAGAGCAGTAAGATAAATTAAGGAGATAAAGGGGACACAAATAGGAAAGGGAGAAGTCAAAGTTTCTTTACTTGCAGGTGATATGATTTTATGCATGAAAGATCCTAAAGACGTCTCCAGAAAACTATTACAGACATTAAACATGCTCAGCAAAGTGTCAAGTTACAATTTTAATGCACAAATCAGTAGCCTTCCTATATACTAAGGAAAATATGTCAAGAAAGAAATCAAAAGACTTGTACAAAAAAAAAAAACCTTTAAAACACTGAAGAAAGAAATTGAAAACAACACCAGAAAATAGGAAGACCTTCCATGCATGTGAATTGATAGACTTAATATGGTGAAATAACCATCTTTCCAAAAGCAATCTACAGATTCAATACAATCCCCATCAAAATTCCAATGCAATTCTTTACAGAATTATTTTTAATCTTAAAATTTATATGGAAACACAAAAGACCAGGGATAGCCAAAACAATCCTGAATAATCAAAACACTGCTGGAGGTATCACCATCCCTGAATTAAAATTATACTACAGTCATAGTAATAAAAAATAGCGTGATACTGGTATAAAAACAGACACATTGATCAGTGAAATAGATTGCGGTCCCAGATATAAGCCTATGTCCCTACAGACACTTGATTTTTTATAGAGTCCAAAAATATACATTGGAGAAAAGAGCACATCTTCAACAAATGGCACTGGGAAAAGTAGAGAGCTATATGTAGGAAATGAAACCAGATTCTTATCTCTTACCATGCATAAAACTCAACTCCAAATGAATCAAAGACATCAACAATAAGACCTAATACTCTGAATCTGACAGAGGAGAACATAGGAAATACACGTCAACCTATTGGTACAGGAAAGGACTTTCTGAAAAGGACTCCAGTAGTACAGAAATTAAGGCTAACAACTGACAAATGGGACCTCATGAAAGTAAAGAGCATCTATACAGCAAAGAACACTATCAACTGAATGAAACGGTAGCCTACAGATTGGGGGGAAAAACGTCTCAAGAGCTATACATCTGACAGGCAGTTAGTGTCTAGAATATACAAAAAACTCAAAAAACTAAGCACCAAGGAAACAAGTATCCCAATAAAAAATGAGCCATGGAACTAAACAGAGTTCTCCAAATACAAATGTCTGAGAAATGTTTTTTAAATTGTCCAACATCCTTAACCATCAGGGAAATGCATATTAAAACTACTTTCAGATTTCATCTTGCCCAATCAGAATGGCTATCAAAACAGTAAATGCTAACAAATGCTGTGAGGGTGTGGGGAACACGTAATACTTATTTACTGATGGTTAAAGTGTAAACTGATACAACCACTATGGAAATCGGTGTAGAATTTTCTCAAAAATCTAGAAATGGATCTACTATATGCTCCAGTTATACAAGACCTGGGTACATTGCCAAAGGAGTTTATATCCTACTATAGAGATCTTGCTCATTCATGTTCACTGCTGCTCTGGTTACAATAACTAGGAAATGGAAACAGCCTAAATGTTCATCAACTGATGAATGGATAATAAAATGTAGTACAGTGGAATATTATTCAGCTGTAAAGAAAAAATGAAATTTGTAGGTAAGTGAATGGAATTGGAATTTATCATATTAAGTGAGGAAACCCAGACATAGAAAGGCAAATGGCACATGCTCTCTCTCATATATTGATCTTTATTTTGAATCTTTAAATACACCTGTTTCATTTGGAATACTCCTAGAGAGTAGGGCACTAGTAAGGGGCCTTGGGGGGGATTTCAAGGGAAAGAGGATAGAACACACATGGTGTAAGGACAAAGGAATGATGGAGCAAGAATGAGGTGGGGAATGGGAGTACAGGGTAGAAAAGGGGATATGGGAAGGGATAACTAGGAGTAAAGACCTTTTAAAAGGCCATATGGAAACTAACTACTGTAGAAACTTCCTAAAAGATATGCATATATTTTAAAAGTTTAAATGGAGTTATCCTATACTGGGCAGACAATGCCTCTAACCAGCTATCATAAGCTAGCAAATAAAAAGCCCAGTGTCAGGTATGAATGACCACTTTTTGAGTTGTTGGTAGGGTCCCAGCTGCTGCCCCCCAAACATTACAGGACATTGTCGTTGCTCTTGATTACTCTCCAGAGCTTGATGGTGGTTGGTCAGAGTAATCCAAGAGACTCCCAAAATAAGACAGGCTATTGCCAGAGATGTTGGTAATTGCCCAGAACTGGAAGATAAGACTCACTGCTGAAGACAACATATTCCTGACACAGGACTTGGCGCAATGGAGCAGGAACTGACCTGAAGCCTTCTACTTGAAGATTAGCTCTCATAGTTCTGGAGGATACCATGCAAGCTGCTGAGGGAGAAAAATCAATCAATGGTCCAACCCAGCCCTAAAGCCTAAAAACCATAATGACCTGCACTGCAAACTACCTCTATTGGTGCAGTAGTGGCACGGTTATCTGAGGGTCATAAACAGCTATCTAATTGGACTTAAAGCCCTCTCAGTGGGAGTGAACTCATTGGTGGCACTGTAAACACAGACAAATACACATGGCCAGAGAGGTCATAGAGCCTAGAGAAAATCCTGTCTCTGTTATACCTCTAGACAAAGGAAATTTCTTGCCATATGCTAAATATAGATCCTTACATTTACAGACAAGTATACCATACAGCCCTCATCAAAGAAGCTTCTTTTTGCAACAGATAGAGGCTACTATAGAATCCCACAACTAGTCAAATACAGAGAATGTATCTGAGAGATGCCCAGTCCTAGGTGACATATCTACAATGGAACCTCCACACCTAAGACTGGTGGAACATAGTGGAACGGGTGGGCAGAGAGAAAACTAGTGCATTCCTCAACTCTCACCAGTGAAACTTCCTTATACAACAGAGTGTGATGCACACAGAAGGCCATAGCTAGCCAACTTTTAAAGAAAAAGAGACTGTAGAGTGTGTGCCCCTGGATAGGACTCCTATACCAAACCTCTCCCACCCACAGCTCAGGGACCATTGCAGAAGAGGGTCCAGAAAGATTGTAAGAGCCAGGGTTGGTCCATGAACATAGGGAAACAGAGGCTTTCAGGCCACTGGAAGCTTCATGTGAACTTGTGGCAATGGTGGCATCAAGCACAGAACCCATGCCAACTCAATCAGACAAGGGCCCAGAGTAGAGCCAGGGAAATGGGTGGCAGGTCAGCTCTAGTCTGAGAACTACTGGAGACTGATTACTACTGAGTAAGGGAGCGTGGGCCTTACAAACAACCTTTAGATAGGCTGTTAAGACTCCAGAGGATGAACTTGCCCTGAAGGACATCTGGGTACAAATGCTTGATTGGATAAGACTTAACATGTATGGTGGGATACATGAGGTCCAGGGGGTCATGAATGTTGGAGGAGGGTCTAAATTTGATTTAGAACTGTTATATGAAATGTACAAAAGCTCAACAGATTTTTTTTAAAGAATACAGTTAGAATTTATATTGGTTCAGGAAATGGCAGTAGTGGATTCTCCTCTAAGGACTATGACCTCTCCAACCACAAGTATTTGTTTATGTTTATAGCACCACTCAAAAATTCCATCCTAAGTGGATAAGAAGCTCCAACCCCACGGAAATTGTGGCAAAAGATGGCTGCTGGGAGGGGCAGAGACAATCTTTTTTAAGCATGGGACTCTTGGTAGGTTAACCAAGCTCCAGTGGATGGACCCACACTGAAGGACATTTGGTTACACAGATTCGACTTTATAAGCCTGATTACTTCACTAGAGATGTCTAACAACACTAAATGTGTGAGCATCTGGTAACACAGCCGCCAAATAATGAGACGATAACTAATCCATGGTTATGATAAAAGACTGCATCTGACTGATAGATTAGTGTGGAGAAATAACTCTTCCCTGCAGTTCTCAGCGATCAGAGATTGTGTAAAAAGCCCTAGCCGCAAGATATGGAAATCCAATGATAAAAAAGGCCATTTAGCCTTCACTTCTT